TTGTCCATGCTTTTGTGTTAATCCACATTGACTAAAATAAGAGCATAGAGTTTTTGACTGCATCAAATTATAGGCTTTTAATGCTAATTGTTTCATTTCTTTTTATCTGTATCATGAGACATTGAACGACAAACAGCTTTCATTTCTATAAAGAAACTGTTCAACATGGTGAAAGTTCTGATCTGTTATTCTAACGTGTTCATGTAGAATCCGGTATACAATGGAATATCCCGAATTGCCGTAGAAGTGTTTTTCTCTGATTGTTGTATTTTTTCTTTACCATTATTTCGCGAATAAAAAAAACAAAAAAACTGAATGCGCTTATTTTAGTCAATGTGGATTAACACAAAAGCATGGACAAACGTTGTGAAACAGGGACATAAAAAGAGTATGAAGTACGAATTTCAAATATTGTAAAAACATATTGAAAATTTGCTGTAATTGAAATAAAAATATAATTGAAAAGTGATGAATTTGTTTTGCAAAATATTGTATATTTATTTTATTGAATCCACCAAATGCTACTGTTTTTGTAGATATCTCAGTGAAGGTAACAAGCGTAAAAAACCCAGCGTCAGAACCTTAATTTGGGTATAACTAAATCTTTCACTGAGTGAACATTTTTCCAACGCAACAAAAGTGCACAAAACAAGAGACAAATTTGTGTTAATTTGCCCACCAATGAAAAAAAGACTTGTCTACAGTCTACCTTCTATTTTAACAAATCTTAGTGCCAAAACCCACCAAGCAAAGTAAGTTCTTCTTATTCAATCAAAGTACTAATGAGGATTCTTCGAAAACACAAATAGTTCTTAAAACAAAAAGCTAAACTTAGCTCTCATTAACTAGTCAGTCTTGAGGAGAGATGTTTTAAACTGATAATTGTGTGAGACTGGCAAAGAAAGCTCACCAAACGATCAAACGCTTTTTTATCAGAACATACCTTATTATAGGTAAGTTTTTATGCTGACTACGATGGTATTCATTCGCCTCCATAGTCCCTTTCTGAATGAGCCTACGGCAACCGGGTCCCTAAAGAACAATCATGAGTTGTTAACCGGACACATTCTGTTACTGCTACTTATTGAATTATAGTAATTGTAAAAATTATTTCTATACTTAATTAACTGTTTCGTTCTTTTATTTCTTTAGAAAGAAAACAAATTGATAGCTTGAAGGTATGAATTAATTAAACGATATTATATTCCTGAATGACGGATTAGAACAAGCAAGTCAACATTGAAATATAATGCTTTGCACGATTTAATATCACACAGAGATATTTCATTTGATGGGCACCATACTGACACATCATTATTGTATGTAATTAAAACAAATGATTTAAAATTAACGAAATATTTAATAGAATTAGGCATAAATGTCAATTTTCTCTATCAAATACAATTACAACCTGGTTCATCAGACTATGTATTACAAATTTCTCTCTTAAAAACAGCTGTCGACGAACGTAAATTTAATATAATAAAACTATTATTAGACAATAGTGCTGATTTTAATACGCTTGATGTTCAATTATCATACAGTTCGACTAGCATTTATGATCACGATCATTGTGCGAATATAGTTCATTTATTCGTACAACACGGAGCATACATCAATCAGCTCGATATACACCGAGAAAATTCCATTGGATATTTTACTATAATGAAATATCTTGCTATGAACATGTGGCCATTATTAGCTAACAGCGGTAGTATGAATACGCATAGTTGTGGTCATCGTACATCATTACGTTAGTACATCGTTATACGAGATCGGATATAAGCAATCTGTTGGTAAACTTGGGCTTTAAACAATCCGCTAATATCAATTTAAACATGCAAGATAATTATGGTCTAACAGCGTTATATCATATTCTATTGGCTATCTATAAAATTAAAAAATCGAAACTCACTCAAAATCGATCTAAACTACTTCAAAATATCAATATGAACTCTATTTTATCTGCATAATTTGATGAACTAGTACAAATCATTCTCTCACTTAGGCTGATTTCTAGAAAATCTTTTCAAAATTTAAGTACGTTTCATTGATTTTAAAAGATTCTGTTGAATTCCAAGGTGTTGCACGAATAAATAGAATTTATCTTGACGTTCTGAAGTAGTTTATATCGATTTTGAGTGAATTATGAATTTGTGAATTTTCTGTGAAAATAACCCAAACTGGCTTTTTCCACCTAGTATAAGTTATTACTAAGTTTTTGAATTTTCTTCGAAAAAACAAACATTACCACGAGGTTCAGCGTAGTCGATAACTTATGTTTATGTAAGTTTTTTGAGCAATCAGTATAAACTTATTTATACTAACTATGTGATGGTGGTAAGAATTCTTTTCTTTCGTGCTAGCCTTTACTATACGGTTCTATGCCCAGTACAGTGATGTAATGTTATGCTATTGTCATTTATATTTATGTTATGTTCTTTGTATTTTTATATAGGGGACGTTTGAATGCTTTTGTTTCAGTAGTACAGGAAAAGGAACATGCAGTAGTAAAGTGTCTGCTAATAGACATTCACTGGGACACTACAACCATAAAAACTGTCCCAAGTTCCAATGTCCTGAAACGGTTGTTGTAGCACTGGACTGATGAACTACATGGTAAGTTAAGATTTCAGGCATGTAAATAGTTTTTGCACTACTAAAGCGGTCAAAAATCTATGTTAAATAATCCAATGAATAACAGAAAACGTGAAGTTATAACATGCAGTAGGATAAGACTATTTGCACAATTAAAATTTTTGTTCGATTATCTTCAAGTGGTAGAAAATTTTTTCGAGGATTCCATTCGTGACTAGTCCCATAAGTTCCGAGTACTATCTCTGACAAACCAGAGCTATTTACTAATTCCTCACTAGTCATATGTTTGGAGGTCCTGACAGAGAACTAGTCGGTAACCAGAGTCACTTTTTAGCACTCAGATTAGTTAGAACTGGAGTTGAAAGCATTTTTATAACTAGTCTGTTCACCCATTTTAGATTGCACGAAAGTAATACAAGTAGTTGATAACAATTTAAATATGGAGTTAACATCCAGCATATTCGATACTGAACATTGTCATCACATATCAGAGAACTAATTAAATAGATTTCCTATAGCCTCAACGATGAAGTCCTGTCGAATACAAGATGATAACCAACCATCTGATCTTCAATTGCATGGGAAATATCCTATTTAGATTTCTAATTTTATTTACAAATAGAAGTAACTGAAAATGATTACAGAAAAAAAAGTATTAAATTTATATGTAGAATAAGCAGCAACATTTTTTTACGTATATTTCTGAAAAAAATATGTGCATTTATAATAAGCATACCCGTTCATCTCTGCATAAATAAACAACATTAAAATATACAAAAGAAAATACAACACATGATGAGAAGACAGGATTTTTATGTACAATGTTTAAGTTTAGCGTTGTTTTAGTTTAATATTAGCTTTATTTGTTTGTTTAACCACCATAAACTGTTTCGTCACTATAAGCAACATACAAAAATTTATCTTCATCGGCATGTTCTTGATACAATTGTCCCATGGTCATTGATGATTGAGGAATTGTATTATTGACAAAAAAGAAGAGTGCATCTTCTGGACGTAACTGAATACGTTTACGAATTAGAAAATAAAACTGACCAACCTAACAACAAATTTTCAAGATAAAAAGTTTTAAAATAAAATGTTATTCATTTCACTTACCGTTAAATCATTTGGTACTAAATACTTTTTAGATGGTAATTCACTAACACGTGAAGTGGGTGCTTTTTCAACAATGACAGCACATCGATCAGGATATTCACGACGAATACGTTCACCTTCACTACGACGATTTTCATACGTATTATTTTTTTTAAATTCCCAACGCATTTTTTTATGATAATAAGTAGTTTTTTTTGTGTGTGAAGAAAGTGATATCTGGAAGAGAAAACTAAACTTAATCTCATAGATTAAAGCTCGAACAATTCAAATACAAAATACAAAAGACATGAACAAAAACAGTGATTCTTTTTAGATAGAAAATGTCAAATTTACAAATGCAGAACATCAACAGCATTCCCGAAGAACACTGAGAAATATCAATCTGTCGTATGCCAGACATTATATCACGATATAAAAAGAACATAGATGTATAGAATATATAGAATTATATATAGAATTATATGTATAGAATATAGATACAGAACAGTAAATTTAGTTTTGCAGTTAACTGCAAAACTAAGTTCACATGTTCGAATCTCTATTCGTACAAAATTGATTTTGTGTTCTTCGATAGTTTTAGTTTAGAATTATAATGGAATATTTTTCCGCTTGTATTCTGACACAAAAAAGCTTATACCAATTGTTCAAGTGAAAAATTAACCAAATAAAGTGTAAACCGCATCAAAAATTTGGTTATTTACTGTTTATCTAGTGAAACAACTAAACTAAGTGAAGGAACAGAAGAGAAATATGAATTTTTCAGAAACAAGAAAAACAGTCTTAATTCTTATTAGATCTTTACGAACTTTGCTCACTTTAGAAGAGCAAGATATTATACAACTTCGAACCAAAACCTAATAAGTATTAAGATTTATTTTTTGACATACATATCGGTAAGATAGATATAGAGATATTTGTAATCTTATTTCTTCTCGGATATTCTGTCTGTATTTCGAGCACACGCTCAGATTCTCAGACTCATGATCGTTGATAATAGTATCAAATCATCTTGTTGTCAGACATTAAAGTGGCATCATTTTCTGTATGTAAAAACAAGTCTTAAAAAAAAGCCAAGATGTACATTTCACTGTCCCAATCTAAAATGAAACGATAAATTTCACACGATTTATAGAAAATAAAACTTGTAGATCATTATGCCGGATCAGTGAATGGTCTTCTTTGATATCATTTATAAAATATGAAAATACTTCTATACTCAGCGTACATTATATCAGCCCGTTTAATATATTTTGAGAATTTTTAATGCCACGATCAATTGCGATAACGGAGAGGATTCGGTCACACTAAACTTTAAAAACTGTATACTGAACTAAGCTACTTGAGAATCTTTTAAGCAATGTAAACAGTTAAAATTCGTCAGGACTGAATATTACCGAGATTGGACGCAGTGTTTTTAATGACGCAGAGTATACAATACTGGACACAATTATAGAGACAGGGGTTTAAATCTACTTGTCTCCTTTCTCCTGACTAATATACAGGCTTGAATAAGAAAACGTCTGTGTGACTCTATGAATTAGAATGTGAATATGAAACCAGGTTTTCTCAAGGCGACTGACACCTTTGAGAAAAATACAGTTTTATTAAAAAGGTCGATTTTTGTCTGGACACAATTATAGGGAATATCGAGTTTTATTTATTTGTACCGTGAAGTGATTTTATTTTGGCTCGAAGCTTACACAGACACATATAATAAGTGATTCTGGACGTTTTGGTAAAAAAAAGGTTTGAAAAAATGATCTAGATTTGAATCAAATTTTATTAATCAAGCCAAAATCGCTTGAAAACATAGAATCAGTTCAGTTTTTAAGCTGCAGGAATAGCTTCAAAAAAACGTTTTCTCCTACTAAATTTTGGCACCTAGTGTACATTGTTGTTCTCTCTCGTTCAAATAGAGCACACTCAAATTCATAGAGTCGCATAGACTTTTCCTTATTCAAGCCTCTATATTAGTCAGAGGAATGGAGACAAGTAGGTTTAAACCCCTGTACCTATAATTGTGACCAGTACTGTATATGTAAAGAAAATATAAGATACACGTTCGAAACTGCATGTATACCCTGTTTTGCTAAAATATAACGGTACACTTTGCTTAAAACTCTTATTATATTAAAAATACTGATTAAATTGGAGAAGAGTATGTTCTTACTCTTTTTGTTACCTTCTTTACCAATTACATAAAATACCGACCGAAATAAATAAAAAACTCAAGATGCTTAAGCTAAGCTCCAACCTAATCTTTAACCCTATGTCTGCGTCTGACAAACGCAAATAGATACCACGAGATCTACTAATGTAATGTACATCGCGTAACCATCTTGAAATGACTCAACATATGAGCCAATGAACGTTAGAGACATGATGAGGAGCAGATGGTTTTCCTGCACATCACACGCATTTTTCGAAAGCTTCTTCATAAAAGCCGCATCCTCATCTGGACTGATACATTTTCGTAATAGCGACACATAACTGGTAGCGACATCTATTTGTTGGGAATTGCCTAGCCAAGGATAGATGCAAATTGTTATAGATAAGAATTCAACTTCAAGGATGTACTAGTACTTTTCAGTTTGTCTGCAGTTACTGATTGCTTGTTTAGACTAATCCTGATCTTCCATAGTTTATTTACCAGCTGGTTCCAGCTCATTCTCCAAAAATCAAAACAAACACTACTACTTAGAAAAAATAAAAAAATTCGAATTGCTATTGTTGTTTTGTTTGTTTTATTTTTTGTCTGCTCGCTATTTTATTTATTATTTCTGCTGAGTGTCTAGTTCTAAAAATGGATAACAAGCCTACTGACGGTATTGATGGAATCCCTTACTCCTCACTCTTGCACTGATAGTCTCTCCCTTTATTGATATTTTATATTAATTCGTGTTTCTCTTCTCTTCCTGCGTATTTATACCCCATAGAAAATTGTATACGTCGGCCTTATTCATAACAAACACTCTTGTCAAAGTATCTAATTATTATTCTGGCTCTCTTTGTTGTCTGTAAAATGGTCGATCGTTTAGTTTGTGGTCTCATTTTTAATCAGTTGGATTTTTTCCACGAATGAACGTATGTGTGTATGAATGGCTCTATGGCTTCTGTCCTTTCTGACGTACCTTGAGATGGCTTATTTGGATCGGTTTTATTTGTTTTTATTTAATTATACCATTTTTTCAGTATTCTTACTTGTTTATTTATTTGTCTGTTTATTTCGCTTCATTTTGTGAAAA